GAGGGATCTCAGCCAAGGTGGTCAATTTTTCTGCAAGGGCCCTGCCATACCTCTATTCCCCTCTATCTTCCCTACATGTTTGCTAAGGCACAAAGGCATTTCACCAGGATTTACTTCTAGGCAGCTCTCCCCAACCTCTTCCTTCTGTTTCCCTCTCGCTTTCACTCAGCTTCCCCATTTCCACCAACTAGTTGTTTTTACATAATGACACTGTAACTTTTGACAGGATGAAAACCTGGCTCTGCTTCTCCTTTCTGGAGTAAGCAAACTGCCCAAAAGCCTGGAGTGTCTGCAAGCTGCAGAAAATCCTGAGCCCAGTCCAGTGTGGATGTTTGCAGTCCAGTTACAAAAGCCCTGTGTTTGCATTATATTAATCCCCTGGGTTTGGCTATGCTCGCCAGGCAGGACCTATCGCAGCATGAAGAATGACATCATTTGGAAAAAGCCTTGCTGCACAAGGCTGCCAGAGGCTGTGCAGCATCCCTCCCCTTTTATAGGGGACGGCTGCTCCATCTCAGCAGGAGCAGGCTGCTTTATCAATTGGAATAGTTCTAGTGACTATAGAAGTTGTAACATAATGCAGTGTAGGACAAGGAAATATGTGTAACCCTCCTTGGGAGGCTGCAGTAGTGCTATAATACCATAAATCCTGTGATTTGTTCATTAAGCTCAGTCACCTAGAGATTTGTTTCATCTTAATGCATACATTGATTTTTACTTGCCCTAATTTGCCTTTTACAAGTAGTGGCAAGAAATAGCAGGAAAACGTAACTTATATGATGCTGCATGCAAGCTCACCCACGTGCTACTTGTGATCGGCGCAAGGAGCTGCAGAGACATAAAATGCAAAATGACTGGGCTGCTTAGTGAATGCTTTCAGCTCACTAATGCTGAAATGCCATAAAGCATCCTGCGTTCCAAAACCAGCACATGACTCCCAGCATCGCCATTCTGCCCGATTCTCCCCTTACGGACGCAGTTACAAAAACGGCAGCTAAGCACAGACGTATCCCTGGCATGCCGTCAGGCAGCCTTGCTGGAGGAAATTTTTTTTTCCCCCTGCAAGCTGCCAAGGTGGACTCCTTAGCTCCTGCGATAGACTGAATGAGACTGCAGTTCCCCCATCAGTTTCATAATACTCAGAAAGCATCCATTTACATCATTGTGTGCAGTGCAGGGCAGCAGCTGCCAGGAAATTTGAAACTATTTTGATTCCAGTTGACTAGAACAACAGCAATTGAATTAGCTGGTATCGCTATAGATAAACTGATGATCTGTGCATTTTATTTCTTTGACCAATGGGTAACTGCTGGAGCTACAGTAACCTCTGTGAGTAAGGAGACTGTTCAAGCAAATATATCTAATTTCTCGAGCTATATAATATATATATATATATATATTTATATATATACTGTATAGAGAGAGACACTCACACCATTCTTTTTTAAAATGTACCTGTAAACAAAATGTCTGTCTATGCTTTTAACTTGTGTTTTGCTTCCTAGAATTTCCTTTTATTATGCTGTAGACAAGTTTGCTTGACATGGAATGGTTATTTACCTATGAAATAGCATATCTATGCCTGATTTAAATCATTAATTCTTTCAACGTCTAGTCATCAGAAAGGCTGCCAAATGCTGTTAGCTTATATTTGCCCGGTCTCAGTTTTCTAGTCACTCACCCCCTTTCTATTTTAGCTTTTTCCCTATTCATTTCTTTCTTTCTTTTTTCCTTTCTTTTTTTTTTTTTTTTCATTTGTTGAAAGAAGCCACCTTCAATGCAAAGTAGAAATTTGTGTTACCTGAAAGTGTGTGTCCTTTCTTTGTTTGTTTGGTGATGGGTATTTTTTTTCCCTGCGCATCTTCAGTGCAGTCCTTAAATTTTGTTGTTGTCTTTCTAGCCTTGTTTGTAATGCAGTCATATTGGGGGATGGGGTTGGACAGGATATGCCAGTAGCTGCAGCAAGACATGATGCTGTGGTGGTGGATGGGAATAAGGGAGGAGTTTCCCTTAAAGAGCTCAAGCTCCCCTAAGCTCTTCTACCTGAAATAACTCTGAGGAAAGGGAAAGGCTTTGCAATTTTGGGAGAGAGCAGTGGATTGGTCGTGGTTTTCCTCAAATAATTGAGACTTTGGCAGTCATGTGCATGGTGGTACCTAACATAATGGCAACAGAACACTGCTTTGATGTCATATGATTTTTTTTTTTTTTCAATCAGAGAATCAGGCAGTATTCCTGCATGAAGGCAAGAATCCCACTGACTTGTACTTACATACAGCAGTGGTGTCAGCAGCAGTCCATCCAGAGGATGGCTGCTGACATCTCACTTCAGAAAAGGCCGTACATTTCTACTGTGATAGCGCTACTCTCTTGGCCAGATGGAACACAGCTTGCAGGTGTGGCACAGGGGTGTATGTGTAAGCACTCTCCCTTCCCTTGGACATCTCTCTGTGCCCGCATATGTGGGTATGTGCTCTATATGTGTACCTCTTCTGGAATCTGATGGGCTTGCCAGAGTATGAAGTTCAGGAGGAGAAGTAAATCAGAAACTTGCTCAGGATTTCTTTCCACCATCAGCATGTGGCTGATGGTGGCAGATGGGGGCACGCAGCAGAGCATTTAGCATTCACCACGAGAAATAAGGTCCCCTCTGTTTCCCTCGTGTTGGTTCAGAAGCTAAGATAGCAATTAGCAGAGACGAGCCTGGCCCCTTGGCAGGATCTGTGTGCGGTGCCTTGTTAGGGCTTGGCCTCCGCAGCACATTGGCTGCCTCCCAGTCCCACAGGAGGCCCAGGCTGACGCTCCGGGCTTCCTTCCAACAAGGCGGGATGTGTGGGTTGGAGTGAGGCATGGGGGGTCCCAGCTCTTGAGGCACTGAGTATTGCTTTTCTTCAGGCAGTGCAGCCACAGAGTGTGGCCCAGGCAGTGGCCTCTCCAAGTGTTGTCCCAGTGCTGAGGACACACACTGAGCACTGCTGTGAGTGGATGTGTCCACCAAGAAGGGCTTATGTTAACATCTATAGTGACAAGCTCCCTATCAGCCCTCTCCTGAAAAATCCCACCTCTAGACCATGCTGAGAGAGCGGCAAGCACTAAAGCTGCTGCATTAGAGAAGACCAGGGTTGCAGGATTACAAAGCAGCTTGGGGTTGCTTGCCTGGGGTTGTTCTGGTGAAGGTGTAGGGACGTTGTTACCACAGAGCATCACTGTCACATGTGAGTCTGTCCTGGTGGGAGTGTCCTACTGCAGCAACCTAGTGCCTGTGCCTTGAAAAGTATGGGCTTGAGATGCACGCAGGTGCTGTGTGGCTGAGTTGTGTGCAAAGGGGACTGTTTGCTGCTTCAGACACTTTGGAAAAGCACTCTGGGTGCTTTTCCACACCTGTGTGTTGGAAACCTTGCCAAGAAGATGAGCTGGTAATGCAGTTATGGACAGGGCATCTTTGCTCCTTACAGCTGAGAAAAGGTCCCTGCTTTGTCCAGAAAAGCACTGTCCTGAACAGCAACCAAGTCGTCTGGATGAAGCTGAATTCTTATTATATAGTGATTAAGTTAATGGCATGGATATGTTTGGAGAACCCACTGGGGAAGATTCTGAGGCTTGGCAGGGTCCAAGACTGTCACTTAGATGCTGCACCACTCTCAGTGCAGCATAATTTACCCCGTGGCTAGATACACTGGGATATACTGGCAGGTGCAAGCTTCTGCTTACCTCAGCAAGCAACTGGCACATAGGTAGTCATATTAATGCGATTCTGAACTTCTCTTAGATTATCCTCTCTTTCACCTTGAACTCAGCCTATCATTAACCACAGCTACATGGCTTTGGCCTCAGAAGCAGATCCTGGCCAGCCTGCTGGGAGCAGAGGTGGGGGATCAGTTTTCAGTGCAGCACCTAGAGATGCATCTTGGGGCCAAACCATTCAAATGCAAGTTGGTGTCTGGTTTCAGAGCTGTCCCCCCTGATAATTTTCAGAATAGGTTTTTAGGTCTCGCCACCCTGTAGTTTGATTCAAAACACTTTTGTACTCCAGACCAGTTTCTTTTTATTTTTTTCTAAAGGAGTGGGACAAATACAGCTGTTGATGGTTGGCTTTTTTGTTGTTGCTTTGGACTTTTTTCCTCCCAAAATCTCAGTTCCTCCTTGGGCTGTGATATAAGGTGGCCAATTATCTGTCATTACGTGATCCCTGAGATCCCTCTGCACAGATGGTTCTCTGTTACCTCGAAACAATGGGAGCCACTGGGTGCTTGGCACTTGGAAAATGAGACCACCCATTTTTGCTCCTGCTTTGTTTCCATCAGTTGAAAAAGCAGCACAAGGAAGGGAGGGGTAGCAAGGTTTTTCTGCAGCAGTGTATTTGCTGCAATAGAAACTGTGAATTGCTTGGTATGCATCCATCACTGCAACATGACCTTCCCTACCTGAGTTGTTAAAGGAAGAGGGTAGTGCTGGCAGAAAGTTGAATTGCTTATTAATTGCTTTGTAATTTAGCTAATTAGTTTTGTCAAGGCTGTAGAACATAAGGGGTGTGGCTGCTTATCTTCCCAGTGTTTCACCTTTACAAGTGCAAATTATCTAAAAAACGTAAAATCATCATGTTTGGTGTCTTATTTAAGTAAAACCATCATGTGTGGTGGTCCATGCTGTGGATGGATGTAGACATCTGAATCTCTGCCTTCTTAGGCCTATGCGCCTGGCCTGTTGCCTCAGACTGTTCATGTGCCACTGGGACCTTTTCTGAAGTGTAGCAGACATTTCTGGCATTCCTTCCTCTGTAGTGCAAACTCCCAAAGTAGGGCTGCCCAAAAACTCCTATGTAAAATGACCAGCTCTGGATAACTGCAGTGTGAGAGTGTGCAGAAGTAAGTTAAACTGAACAGTATTTTCCCGGCAGGGGAGAGCGTTGTTACTTTGTTAGGAGTGGGCTGGGGAGGGAGATGAAGATTTTTGCTTTGTGCATGTGGTAGATAAGTCCAGGGTCTCTTTTATCTTTGCAGGTAGTGGCCGTGGAAGCAGCAGTTTGCCTCCTCAGACCATCATCAATGAATTTCCAGAGTACGGCACTGTAGAGTCAAGCAGGCCAGCGCCAACGGCTCCATCGACGAGCCAGGCCGAGCCTGTAACTCACAGTCCAGAAAGACGGGACAGTCACCACCACGTCAGGCCTGTTCCTCAGTGCGCAGCTCCTGCTGATAATTTGAGGCCTAATGCAGGGGCAGTGCAGCTTCACACCCCAGAAGAAGGTCTGCAACCTGTGGGTAATCTCCCAGAGATTATGAAAATCTCTCGGCAGCTAGAAGCAATAAAGGTGCAAGAAAGAGCAAATACTTCTCTCGATTCAGAGACGCCAATGGAAAAAAAGAGTGTTACTGGCAGCCAAAATGTGCAGGCAGCCAGAGAACCAGTTCCAGCAGGCCAAGAAAAACTCTCAGACATGCTTCTTCCATCTGAACGAACAGCTGAGGAAAAAAAGCATTTGATCATAGAGAAAGATCTGGCTTCAGTATGGGCTGGAGAAAAGCAGTCTGAATCCTCACAAGCCATAAGTAATAAAGCAGAGGAGGTCCACACAGCTCAGGAACCAAGCTGTCATAAACAATCTGTGACAAACCTGGAAGTATTCAGCAGAGTGGAGAGGGGGACAGGTTTTGAGGAGTTTTCAGAGTACAGTCAAGGCAAAATGCAAACAGGTCTGGAGAGAAGGCTTGCTAAAGAGCCAGCTGCGAGTAAACATGTAGAATTTCAAGGTGTGGAGATCTTATGGCTTCAAAAAGCTGAGGAGCAGAAAAGAAAGAAGCACTCACTGCTGGACTCTGTGTCTGTGGAGAGGAAGGCGTTCCCCAAGACATCCAGCCACCCTGTGTCACCAGTGGTCTCCCCAGGCTTGCTTTCCTTGCCAGACAGTGCATGGAGTGAGGTCTGTGAAGACCCAAGGCTGGGACGTGCTGCCTCTGGAGCCACTCCTCTAGCACTGCTCGATGAAAGTAGGAAGGATGAAGTTTCTGTGAAGGACAGGAAGAACTCTGGTGAGGAGGAGAAGGCTGTGCTTGCAAGAGGCCAGGGCAGGTGAGCTGATTCTAAAAGGGGAGCAGGGGTCAGGCAGGGGTTCTTTTGTCTTGGCATGTGGCTTGTGCCTACCTGTTTAGGAGCTAATGAGAAGCAGCAAATATTTCTCTGCTGCCTGTGGTGTCGTGTTTACAGAAGTGGTTCATAGTTGGTGGTTGGTTAGTGCCTGAAGCTGGTACTGAAGCTACTTCACACTATCTTACTGAAGTTTGCAGTCCATCTCAGGTTTTGAAACAAAGATCAGAAGTCTTGCTGTTTGCACAGTGATGTCTGTGTGATGAAGCTTCTGTAGCAGGTGTAGTTGGGATCTGGACATGTCATGTAATTAAAATACAGTTGGCATGCAGGCCTGGCCATATGCACCTGAACAGATTTTCTGGTTTCATTGAGAGTTCATGCAAGAACAGTGTGAGAACCTTTGAAAGGTTGGATAATAAAGACATTTTATCCAGGGCCGTGTAGATCATAAAAGGAAAGATATTTTATCCGGGGCCATGTAGCTCATAGGAGGATAAATGCTACAATATGTGCTTTCTATATTACCTAGCTAGCTAGCTAGGTATGTTTATATCATTTAGCAGTACATATTGCAAGAATGGCATGCTGTTTTGCATCCTGATTTGCTTGCTTTTCTTTCCTGATGGACATCTCCTGACAAAACAAAGGGTTCCACTGGTGTGCTCTGAGCAAACCATGCTGACTTTGACATGGAGAGATGTTTCCTGCTGAGACAACAAGATCTCTACAAGGGAGGCTCTCCTGCCTCTGCACCTCTGGATCTGTGGAGTTTTGCTTTGGGATGGGATTACTTGGGCATGGGATTACTTGCGTTGGCTACCCTAACCTCTGTCACGTTGAGGAGCCTCACAGTATTTGGTGCAGCAGAGAAGAAAACTCTGAGGGATGGTATACCTTGCATCAGCAAGCAGGCTGAGTCTTCTCCCTTCAAATTTGGTTCCCCAGGCTCCATGTTTTTAATTACATGGACTTCGTATTGCATTTTGGAGTGATTTCCTTGAGCTTTTTGCTGAAGACCCCAATCCTAGGACTGCAGAGATAGCAAGTTATCATTCAAGGGCAGAGGTTCCATCTGGATACACATCTCCAGCATGTGCAGCCTCTGACATGGCACTGGTGCTAAGATAGATGTTACATATTGTGCTTTTCTCCTTTGCAGGTAAGCAGCCAATATAATCTGTTAGACAATATTAGGCTGTCTCCCAGCCCTCTTCTTTTACCCAGAAAATAGTTTCTTTCTATGTCCCTGGAGAGGAAGATGATGCTAATAAAGAGGGTAGTGCAAAAGAGAAACCAGCATTTTACCTGCAGTGCCCTCTGTTTCATAAAGCTGTGTTGACCTTTTTGCTCAGAAAGGTGGAAGGTGATAAGGGTTGCCAAAAGTCTAGACTTTGCCCCCAAACTGAAATGAGTTGTTTCTGGTTAATTTTCAGGATGGTGGAGGAGGGGGAAGCAGCCAGAGGAGGATACGAAGATTTCCTTGGGCAGAAGCACTCTGACGTCTCCACTGATCTGTACAGCTCACAGTTTGAAAACATCCTAGACAATGCATCTTTGTACTACAGTGCGGAATCGCTGGAGACATTGTACTCGGAGCCCGATAGTTACTTCAGCTTTGAGATGCCACTCACTCCCATGATCCAGCAGCGCATGAAGGAGGGTGGACAGTTTTTAGACAGGACATCAGCCTTGGGGCAGACAGATGTCCCTGACAGGGAGGTCAAGGCATGTGGTGAAGGCATCGCCAATGGCTTAAGGGATACAAGCGAAACACTCTTCAAAGGAGACGTCACAGAAGTCCCTCGTCTGGAAAGGTAAAAGTAGTGAGTGAGCTTTCTATGTGCTTGGAGATTGTTCCCCAGTCTCTGTTTACTTCAGTGTACTGTCACAGGGTGTAGTTTTGCCTCTTAACACTTAAAATTTTCTACAGAGAATCATTTCCAGGGTGACTGCCGGAGAGAAATGAGCCATCCAAACCTGTCATTCATAAGAAGAGTGCAAATTTACATTATGAAGGTTTATTAGGCAATGCTGATATGTTGATGAAAGTCTGTCTGATATTATCACATCTCTGGGACCTGTCTCTGGAGGAGTTAGTTATTGGTTACAAATGAACCTTGTTCAGTTCCAGTTCCTACCTGAATTTACTGGCAGCAACTTTAGGAGCAGTAACACTTTGTGTACACAAATGAGTTGTCCAAATGCAGTTTGTGATCTGGATGTTAAAGATGTGTCTCTGGGCATAGTGTTTCCTCTCTTGAGGCCAGTGGGAGTTTAGGACATTACTTCTGCTGGGATGAGATTTTGCTTCCACCACATTCACAGGTTAGCTACTTCTTTCATTTGTGCACGTACTTCCTAAAAGAGGAGTGAGCATTCCCAAAAACGTTAGAAATTTCTGTTTAGGTAAAAGGGGAGGGGAGAAAATATATTAAAAGAAAGAGTCATTTGAGAAGCAAGAACTAGGTTGAGTGGTTGAAAAATACTGTACAATTGTAGGAAATCACTCTATGTGCAAACTTTTCTTATAGTGTGCAGTCAAAAAGAGTAGGGACAATGAAAAGTAGCCACAAAGTAGGAGATTGAGTTAAAAGCAGAGTGGTGAAGGTGCAACTCACCTGCAAAATGGTGAAGGGCCTTGTGAGGGACAAAGATGCCTCTGGTCTTCATCCTCCAGAGACAGGATGTTATCTTAGAGTCCAAAGACTATTCCTTTAGATGGAATTAATCTAGTTCGAGCTTTCCAGGGAGTAAGGGTGGGAGATGTTTTATCTGTTTTATTTCTTTTATGTTAAAATGAAAGAAGTCCTTTTGAGCAGAAGTAGTTTTGCTAACTACCGATTAAGGTACAGTAGGCTCTTAAAATAAAAGGATAAGGACCTTAGAGTTTAAAGTATTTTTCCCTCAATCATAGAGTGAAAAAGGTCCTTCTGTGTTTAAATCTTGTGCATGCATGGTGCCTGCCAATAGGCAGTAAGTGACTGCTAATCTGCAATAACCTGTATGGAGCCAGAACCTGAGGTCAGTCCTGAGACTTGCAGCTACATACATATAGCAAAATCAAAGACTGACATAAAACTGGACAGGGGAGAACAAGCAGTACATCCAGATCCTGATTCTGTTACTCCATAGTTGCAGCATCTAGTATCTAAAATATACTGTCAAGTAAGGCCCACATTGGCTCATCAAGACAAAAATTATCACAAAGACAAGGTGTGTTTAGATGAGTCACATCAGATGCCTGCCTAATGTGGATTTCAGTTAGAATTAATTTTAGTTTAGATTTGCAGCCATATGATAAATCAGCAGTAGATGTTTAAATAGTTTTTCCTCAATTAAAAAAAAAAAAAAAAAAAGGAAAAAAAGTGTTCCTGGCTTTTTAGGGACAAGCTTCAAGGGCTCACCTAAGGTAGGTGCCAGTAGAGAATGTCACCGCAGCAGGCTGACTAGCCACGAGTATGCCCAACAGAGTAATCCTCCCAACAATAATCTTATAGCCAACACCACCCTTCCTCCTCCGGTATTCCGGTATCATGTTGTATTGCGCCAGGCGTGTATGTTGTGTGGTGACTGACAGGCGGCTGGCAGGTCGTGAGTACTACTTTGTTGGAGGCAGTGGGGAATCACGGTGTTAGGAGCGCGGGGAAGCAGTGTGTGCGTGCTGGGGAGGCGGGAGGTTTATCGCAGAGGGGTCAAGCCGGTGTGTCACGGTGATGCTCAGGTGAACCAGAAATAGCCTCCTGAACCCTGGCGGCTGGAGCTTGAAGGCGCGGTTGTGTAGCCTGAAGCAATCCGTGACATAGGTTTACCTAAGTCAGCCTGTGCGATGCGTGTGTATGGCACCTCTGCGTCTGCTGCTCTCGCTTCCTACAGTGTCATGAGCCTGCGGTTGTGCTTGGGGCTGCAATTCCTCACACGTAGTGCCTGCCTGGCGCTGCAGAGCAGCGGGGGCACCCTCCGCAGTGGTCCAGCCCCCGGAGGAGGAGGGTAGGGGGAGGCAAGCCCTCCGCCCCGGCGTGCCCGGCCCCGCGCGGCCGAAGCGCTCCGTGCGCTTTGCTCGGCCGCTGCACCCCACTCCCGCCTGGAGGAGAGCGGCGGGAGAAGCCCCTCCCAGAGGGGTGGGGGTTGCTGTGGGGGCTCGGCATGTGGATACTGGCAAGTGCAAAGGGAAGCGGGGGGATTTCGGGTGCGGGGGATATGGGAGCAGAGCGGGGCAGTGTGGGACAGCAAGGAGCATGAGACCCCCTCCTTCTCCCCCGACGCACACC